GGCGGGGGGCTGCGCGGGTGCCGCTGCAGTGATTCCTGTGCGGCTTGGGGCCGGGGCCCGTGGCGCAGACCCACGGTCGCTCCCTGGGGCCTGCCACAGCAGGCCCTGCTCCGGGGCGCAGGGGGGGAACCGGCCTTTGTGCCGCTCTCCAGCCCTCCTTCCTTCCCTCCTTCCAGATATGCGTTAAAAGGATGGCACTGCTTTACGGGGGGTTTCCTCACCACAGAACAAAATAAATTCACCTATGAAGCACACTGATAAAGGTTTTCCATTTCACAGCCAGGAGCTGAAAAACAATTTTCTCTACCAGAGGCGGTTTTTGGGGGACTGGGGCTTTTTTGTTCTGTTGTTGTGGGGTGGTGCTTGGCATTTTCTGGCGTGGGCCTTTTCATTGGGTTTTTTTTGTTTGTTTGAGAGTTTGGGGTTTTTGTTTGGTTGCTTGTTGTTTCTGGTTTTTTTTTTAAGAGGCAGGTAGATTAATGACCATTCACTTCTGAAAACCAGTCTCTGGGTCGAACCCAAGTTCCAGCTGGTGCCTACCAAGAGGATACAGACCCGTAAGGGTGCAGAGTCATTCCAGATAAGGCAAATGACTGATTTCAAGTCCTTTACTCTCCATGTAGACTCAACTATCTGTAGTTAAACAGTAGTTAGTCCTAAAATCTATGCGTGCACTGAGCAATGCAAGTACTAAGCAGTATTTCAAGACATACTAAGCAGTATTAGTTTTCTAGACAAAACCACATTCACAACTGTTCTAAGGCTCCTCCACTCTGCTGCTAACTGGAGGGAGGGTGGGAGAACTGTCCTCTCCCCACACACCGGGGTACGTGTGCAGTGCACAGCACTGCTTCACCAGAATGTATGGCTTAGACTTTAATGAGGTGTTGGTTTTAGAGCCGAATATATGGAAGCTCTTGAGTTACAAGCAGAATTATTATTGCAAACCTGACTACAACTACAGTTGGTGTTCTTGGAAGATGAGGGTGCAAGTAACAAGAAGCTAACAAATTCATGCCAGTAAGTCAAGTTTAATTTGCTTTCCTTTCCCCCTCCCTCCTGAAGCTGGCCGAAACACAAGTTCCACCGTAAATGCAGTGACTAGCAAACACGGGTGCCATCACAAATACAGCGCTGCCAAGAGGAAGTCCTCCGTTGACTAATAACAGAGTTTCCAGTAGCAACTGCAAGATATTCTGGGCACTGAACCGAAGAGATTTAGGGATATATTCTAAACAAGATGTGCTTTTTGCAAATACAGAATATGAATTGTATAACATTGGGACAAAAGGTTTTAAAAAGTCACCAGTAACTTCTATTACAAAGGCAGAACTAGAGGTTTTACTGGCTCTTCAACGACCTCTACTTCAACAGATAACAACACTAAGATCTCCCTATCAAGCCTATTATCAAAGTACGACTGCATAAAATAAAGACACAAGTCATTGCTACACAGTTTGGTACTGTTTTTGCTGTCGACTGAAAGAATATGAAAATGCAGCCTTTTAATTTGGAAAGAGGAGACGGCATGCTTGATAATAGTATTTTTGTGTAGCATTTGTCACTGTCAGAGCACAATACAGAGCATAATCAAGTTCATTTGTTAACTAAGTAACCCATTCTTTGAAAACCTATTCTTCAATGCGATGCAGCGTCAGTGACATATTAAAAAATCATTTACTAGAACTGGAAAATTAATTTTATAAAGAACATATTATACCACAGCTTCTCTTCTGTACCCTTTCCTTGCTCAGATTGCAAGGCATTTCATACAGTTACTTCCCCTGCAGACACAGGATTTTTTTTAATTTTTTTTTTTCATTTGAATACGGAAAAAACCCTGAACTTCCACTGCTGCAATTGAATAGTTCTATCAAAAACTTCTCAAGCATTTTCATAGAAGTTATTTATTTTGCCTTTGAAGTAAATACAAAATTGTCAGAAATATTTACTAGGTCAAATTGTAAGCTCTGCTATGTGGGAATCATGCCAAAATACAAGCACAAACCAAAGTGCTAAAAAGTAATTTCAAAACGATGCTAAGCAGTAGTGAAAACTAGAAAGTTCTAAGCAGCCAAATCAGATGAGATTTGTCATTAAATCACTGAAAACAAGAAACAGAGCAAACGTCCTTACAGAGAAACTGACATACTATATGACCAAGTCTGACACGGTTATGTTGAAAGTTGCCTCTGAATAGAACATCATATGCAGCACCTTCCAGCAGCACAGATACCCGCTGCACAAGAACACGGCAATGCTAGTTTTTAATGCCTTGGAAGTAAAATGTTCTGCACTGCTAAGCAAATTTAGTCTACAGCATGGCCTCCCACCATTTTTAATTTTAGAATGCAACCAAGTTATTTGAGATGTAGGTGAGATAAAAAAAGACTAATGAGGGTTTTAAAACTCTAGATGGCACACTCATACAGTAAAAGATTGTACATCTGAACAGAAATACGTAGGTTCACCTACAATACTTTCGTGGTTTTCCACCTGAAACATAACATAATCTACCTGCAAATACTGTTCTGAGGCCCATTTGTGAATTACTGTTATTAAAGGATCTGCACTATTCCCCCAACTTAGAAATGGGTGTTTTACTGCATTACTCTGCAGTATTTGCAGTTTCGTGTTAGAACAGTATTGAAGTAAGTTAGTTTAAGATTCCACATACAATTAAGTCTCATGGCACAGCACCCATCCTGTCACACTCCAGTCTACTTTGTGGATAATGGGAATGAGATCTTACCCATTTCTTAAAGGCACAGTCTCACGCAACTACCACTTCAGTTACGCACATTTTCAAGCTTTGCACTCGAAGGGGAAGTTTTTGTTGCTGCTTTGTTTTCAAGCAGGAGCTCAGCTTTGTTTCATTACATCAAGTGCAGGGTCATAAAAAGGACATTTTGATACACTGCCTCTAACCTACCCATCCAGATAGAAAGCAGCATAAAGTCTGAAACTCAGACCAGCTTGGATGATGGTAGCAGTCATGAAAATGACACCGCAGTATCTTTATTAGAATTTGTCAAGGGCATGTTGCTGCTGTCATGCAACCCACTGAAGCTGTAATAAAGGAAATGATAGCTGTGCAACTGAATTGCCACAGCACACATCTGAACGACATCCAGAATGATCAGAACGGCAAATTAATGAATTAGGCTGTTTTAGTAATTATCTGCATAAATAAACCAGTGCCTAAAAGACAAATATGACACAGATTTACAGTGTGCTAGATGTTCCATGCTAATGGTGTAAGACCACTTTTATCCTCCAGCAAGCACGAGGCAGTCAAACCATCCATCTCATCCTTACCGCACAGTAACGGTTGGTGACAGTGGAGAAGCTCATCCACCATCGCTTACACCACTGTGAAGGTGCACCCACATCATAGGCACAAAATCAGTGCAGACCAGCACGCAGCCCTGCGTTCAGATGGTTTTGAAATTCATGATGTGGAACATATGTACAACAAAGGACACCCGGAAGGCATAAAATAGTGCATATGCATATACTGATTGGAGAACTACATGGACATGGAAGCATTTGCCCACAAAGTCACAGAGAAGAATGTCTTTGGCCTTAAGCCACCACAAGAGCCCCTCTGAATGAGTTTTCTCCATTTCTACATCACTGGGTATCAGCTCGCTAATAAAACTATTAACATCAACTTTTTTCTCTAATAATGTGTATTCATAATCACTCCTTGCTGGTACATATTTACCAGAAAGTGTACATCTGTAGCATGCTTTTACTCTTAAATATGCAAATAAGATAAAAATTTCCAACATATGTTATTCACCTACATATATAAATTCATCACTTCCATTTGCAAGTCAAATAAATCACTGTCATTTTTTTAATCATTTAACAAGTTTATTTCTATAAATTATGGCTTAAAAGCAGGTACTGTAGATACAAAAAATCTTAAGAGACTGATGCGCAGCACATGTTATTTCTTTATGTTGTCTTTGTGCATAAGTTATTAATTTCAGTGGGTATTCATCACATTTCTCATAGCAGCAATAAATAGGCATTTTACTTTTCATAAAACATTATTTTAGATAGCATGTTAATCAATACAAAATTAACTTTTAACAGCACTAGAGTAACATAACCCATAGGTCATTAAAGGTTGATCATGGAATTGGAAAATGTAACGCTGGACCTCTATGCCAACCTAAGACTGAGTGATTTGCAGGGTCTCCAGCATGTCTTCCACTGCCTTCAAAGAGTACTTAGTTTCCTTCTTGCTGCGACCTGCAAACTAAACAATAACAAAAAAGGATTATCATTTGTCTTATATCAGAAATACTGTGCATAGATCCTGTACAAATAACAGTTCTAAACTGTACTTTAAGTACCAAAAATTTACTCTAATTACTAAAAGCACAGCCTCTTTATTGTTTCACTAAAACTCAGCATTTTTACCAGAATACAAACTATATCACCCTTCCTCTAGTAAGTATGAAAAATACAACACAACTCCTTAATTTCACTCATCTGCTCTGAATTTGAATATTCAGCACTAACAAGTATTCCACTTCAAAACTTAACATTTATCTGTAAAGAGATCTTTCTGTCGCTGTTTGCTCTGTAAAGTTTAACCTAATTTTTAGTTCAGACTTGAATTTTGTATGTGATGCAAATTAGATTATATTTGTAATTTAAATAGTAGCAAGACTTGGACCTGTTATTTAAGCTAATCTATTTTCTATACTTGTTATAGTGAGACAGAGAAAATCTACTATAAAATTATCCAGTCATCATATCATTATATTTTATGGTTCAAAGTAACTGTAATGACCTTGTATTTGATTGTAACCTACTAGTACAACAGCAATTTTAGAGGGTATTTAAAATAAAGTCTGTCTTGCTAACAAAGGAAGATACAGCTTCATAAATACTACTTATGGCTTTAGATTCCCAAAGAGACAGGCAGCCAAGTTTGGGAAAGAAAGGGGTAGAAGGGTAGGAGATGTTCGTCGCTCCATGCTGACCTCAGAGGGGTTTTTCTAACTGTACGGAGGATTCCCATCACTCTTCAGCCACAGCTAACACAGTGGATTGATTGATTAGGTTAGTCTTCAGTCAAATGAAACCCTCAACCACTTTTAATGTATCTGCATTAAAAAGTTTTGCATTTGGGGTTGGAGGAGTGGTAAAAAAAATACAGAAGGAGTAACTACAACTTGCTGCTAGTAAAACAGCCTATTCTCCACCTAAATGTTAACATCTGAACACTCAATAAATTTTCAATTCAATGTTTTTTATTTCAAATACCACTGGTGGCTCGCATAGTTAGTCCTTGATTTATAATGTGTCCCTTCTCTCTCGTAATTAACTTAATTTAGCAAACTCTTCATGACCTGTTAAGAAAGATTAAGACATCAAACCCAGGTAATATCACACCAGCAACAAGCTGCAGGACCTGTCAACCTGCTTTTGACCCCCAGGCTACAATCTAACACTGGGATTCCCAATCAGTCCTGAGTTCTTAAAAAAATATTTTTGGCACAGCAAATGAAAAGCTATTTCAAATTAAATAGTTAGGAGAACAAAATGTTGTTATTGTGACAACACTTTATAGCTGAGAGACATACTGAAAACACCATATTTTCCTATTTCGTATTTCCAGATGATGAACTGATGTGCCATGTTTTGACCCTAGCAGGATGTATAAACCCATTCTTTAGGTTGGGCAGCTTCCATAGTGACCTGCAATAGTCAACTTCAGAGGAAAATTTAAGATTTCTTAACACTCTTCCAGGTGAGAGAAGGAACTTTTGTATCTGACAATACAATATCCTCTTTTTGTTCACACTAAACAAGAACAGTCCCAAGCAGATACATGGGGAGTCCAAATCCTTTCATAAAAACAAGCAAATAAAAAACAGAACTCAAGATCCTCCACTGAAAATTTGTTTTGATTCAAAGCATTCAGAGATTTCAATAAAAAGCACAGAAGCTTGAATATATTGTGGTCGAAAGGCACACTTGGCAAGACACACAGAAAGCACGCAAAGCAAAGCTTCAAAATAAGAAGAATTTTACTTATTTTACTCTCTTCAGGGACACTGAAAACAAAATTGACATAAGACATTAGTTTAAAAAATGTTACTTGCTAATTTCAAGAGTGGTTGCCTTCACGATACTGACGTGTACTTTAAGCTGAACAAATAAAACCAAACTCTGCGACATAACAAACAGAAGTATACTTGGAAATGTAATCACTTCAAATTTGCCCTGACGAACAATTATTTTGTCTATTCTGCCATTACACAGCAATTTGACTGATTGAGCCGGAATCCATTTCTTAAAATCATGATTTAATTTTCTGTTTCCCAAATGGTTTGTAACAAAATCACCCCTCCAACCACAAATAACACGTGGATTGCTAACACAACAGAATCTAGCGATGCACCCAAGAAGCACATATCTGGAAAATTACTGTGAGTGGGATCACATTGAAGATTTTTGTAAGCATTAATCAAACTTGCCTGCTTCTGCTGAAACACTTCTACCAGAGGACACGCTAAACCAATTACCTAATTGAAGAGTGCTAGGTACCTATATTTTGTTTCGATGTTAAAGTAACTGTGACTCATGTCCTCAGTCAGAACAGATACACATTCTTCACAGGGTCTGCACACAGAATATAGTCCAGTTTCTCGCTGATAAGGCAAAACTAAGCTTATAATAATAATAAACTCATAGTTCTTTGAATAATGAGTACTTCTCTAACATCTGAAATAAAAGATTAATATTTTTTTTCATTGTTTTTTTCACCCAGTCAATTAAATTTAAGTGGCCTAGAGAGTAATGACCTTTTCTTTCAGAGCATGTTAGCAGCCAGGAATTCCAGGTCCATGCAGCAGCCCTAGCTACAAAACCGTTCTGTCTTCCTTTGAAAGTTTACTTTTCTCCTAGATTAGGCACAGATGAGAAGTACTAATCAGCACGGAGCGCGACATATTTAACATCAAAATAAGCACATTAACCAGACGGAGCATCAAATATCTATGTTTTTAAGAAAATCATTTAATTCAACTACTGTTTATCACCCACCTTCCTGTAAAGAAACTGCTGTACAGTCTAAGCAACACTGGTGAAAGTAAGGTTTTCTTTTTACACCCAAAGATTGTTTTCTTTAAGTGACAATAAACTAAAAAGTTCCTCTGATTTCATACAGGAATGCACAGGAAAAACACAAATCAAGTGCCAAAGCAAACTTTCTGAATGGAAGAATAAATCAAAAGAAAGGGACCAGTAAAAATATTTCAAGTAAATTACATATAAAATAAAAAAAAACAACTATAGCCAGTGCTGAATTTGAAAAAATAAAGGCAGACGTCCAAAATTACTGAGCAAACTGCTTGCAATTAAAGTTCTGATCCAGACTGAAAATGAGGAGTGGTCTCACTGCAAGACAATTGCTCAAAAGTAACTTTTTGAATTAGTAACTTCATATATTAAAGTCACAAATTCATGTCATTTGTCTAGGCACCCAAGTCAGGATTCTAAATGTTCCTTATTCTCTAGAACATGAGTACAGTAAAAATTGTATTTAACAGTATAAGAAGGTCCAACTAATAAAACAAATCAATGCCAAACTCAACAAGCTCTTAAGGATCTTGTTACACTTTACAAAGCGCTTTGGATAACGCAAGGAAAGTGGGGAGGATTTATAGAGGTAACCCTCCACTAATAGAGGAACGCTGTAGGGGCTTCCACTGGCACAAGCCAGCAAGGTTTCATCCTTAGGTCCAAAAGACGACAATTTCCAACCACTCAACATGCTAAGAGAGCAACAAATAATACTGACTCACAGGGGAAACTGCCACCTACTACATCACCAAATGCCATTTGCTGTAGCAGCTGGACGTTTTAAGTGTCTGAGACCCACTGGAATGGCTAAACCCTTCTGCAGTCACGTAAGAAGCTCAGTAGGGTTGGGCTGGGGCAATCCTGGCCACCTGTGGTCACCAGGGCTTCTTGTGGTACTTCTGTGAAGAGGAAGGGGGTGTTCACACCATTTGCTCGCCAGATCCTAGCTTGAGCACTTAGATTTTCTGTATAGCTAGATTCCCCCTGTGATTCCAGTCAGATATGGGGTTCGTCACTCTGTCCCAAACAGCTATGAAGAGCAGCCGAAGTATGCAACGTATCACAAAACTATGAAGTCACAAAGAAGTTATGACGTGTTTTAAATATACGTCAGTCGTGTTAACGTGATCTTTTCTTGTAAGCATCAACCAAAAACGCCTGATGCAGGATCCAAAAGTGCTTCACAGAAACCGTGGAATTGCACTTTCCATTAAAAATCAAAAACAAAAATGCAAAACCAAAAAAATCCCCCACACATGGAAAACCTACCACCACCACCACCACTCCCAATACATGTCATATTTTGTTAGATATTGTGATGTTATCAGAAAGCCATGCAGAGAGCTAAAAAACAAAACAAAAAAAAAAAAAAAAGAGAAAAAAAGGCAAGCTGTCACAATTAAACTTTCATTATATTTGGAATCAGGAGATGCCTATTTCTAGGTCTTAATCTTGGTATGTCACCATTCCACAGCCAACACTGGTTTTACGTTTTCATCCTGACACACCCTGAAAGTGGCTGTTTCCCACCTGCAGAAGTGCTAACAGGTCTCTACTGGTGATTTGAACTGGAAACTTCAGTTGTAATATTCACTTACAGCATGTGCTCAAAACCCCTCCAACGTAAAAGCAGTTTATTTGATGAAGATTTAAAACATGCAATAATGGTTTTCACTCAAAATTCACACATCTTTTAAAACCTGTTTTCTTCTATTAACGGTGAATCCACTGTCATTCCGTTCTTCAAGGGTGTTTTGGGGGGTTATTTTGTTTGTTTGTTTTGTTGGGTTATTTTTAAATCTTGCAACACTTGGGTTTTTCATCAATATTGTGCTTAGCGGAATGTCAGACATACTGAAGTCAGAAGAAATCCTGCTTATTTATGGGAAATCAAACAGAGGTGGTAAGTCATACACACCTTACTGTCAGGAGCAGGTAAATGGTTTACTAATGAAAAACTGGGAGTCATTTAAACAGCAACACAGAGAAATATTTTAAAAGCAAAACAGAGAAATAAACTTTAGGCACGCAAGTATAAAATGCTTAATTATGTCCACAGGGATACAATATTCTTCACTGTAAAGTACAATGAGAAGCTACAGGGCCAATCAGGGGAAATGGAAAATATTTCAAAGTTCTAATACAGCAAAACCACGTCAGGCACAAGAAGCTGCACTCTCTGCAATGAATTAACATACAGTGTATTAAGAAAACTGCATTAGCCATAAAAAAAAATACTAATTTAATTCCATAATAGATGGAGCTGGTCAAAAGGCCATTTGGTAGTATTAACTGTGAAACAATAGCAGGAAGAGGAAAATTAAATATTGGGTTCTAATACTGAAATATTACAGAGAGAAAGGAGCGATACATGTATATAAAGTCTTTGGATTTAATATTAACATTTTTTCTCAGAATAAGTTCTGGGGAGAACTGGACAATAGGATGTTGATGTTCAGGATTATTCATACATAAACTTCAATTGGCAGATCACTCAGAATAGCTGAATGGGAGTCAAAGAGACATACTATGCTTGGGATACACGGAGAGCAGAGCCTATGACCTAAAACCCGTTTTCATTTATAGTTACAGAAAAGATATAGAGGCTCGTAATACAAAAGCAAACATAGATGTTTATGCATAACTTTTCAGATAGCTGAAAAGACTCATAACGACTTCAATAAGCTTTGATTGTGGCCTACAAAGTCTACATTTTCACAGTTCCATGGGCATTTTTCTGCAAAACTACGCAAAACCAATTTCAGTCACAATTACTACAGTAATTATTAGGAACACCATTAAATATGATTTTGAAAGGTCAGAATAAAATGAAGGAAAATACATTTCTAGAATTTGCATTTGTTTTCTAGTAAAACAGAATTCGATGACCGAGTCACTTAGGAATTAAGACATACCAAGTTTTATTGAAATACTTAGCTGTAGAACTGAGTCTTAGAGGTCAACATTACTCTAGTGTACATTCAGTTAATGTCAGTAGAAAAAAAAAATCTGTTTAAAGCTGGTAAGTAAATAATAGTAATTAATAACTATAAAATACCAACCTTACATTAATTAAGGCTTCCAGGAAATCAAACAAAAGTAGAACACAAAAAATCCAAGCAAATTATGCTGATTTACACATTGTATCTAATCTCTTGAACACCAGTTGGTGAAACTGCAGAAAAGAACTACAGAACATGTTAAGAGTATCATAAAAGAATGATGTACTAACCTGGTATGCTCTATTTATTTGGTTAGCTGCCCAGCTGGCATATTTCATATTATCTTTTTTCATTTTTGCACTTGCTTTTGGATTGGAAGCAATATGGCTGGCAGACTAGGAATACAAAAATAAAAACAATGTAACTATAAAATGTATGTGCACGAAGTAAACAGAGAGCATTCAGCACCTCTGCATTCAGAGCCCCACGCACAGTGATAGCGGAAAAAGAGAAAAACTAAAAACAGTTACTGGTAAACAGCATCCAATTAAGAACTAGCTAAACTTTTTAACAATTGTTTGTTCTAATTAAAGATAAACTAGGCTTCAGTTCAGTTGTGTGCTGAGTTAGGAACCAAACCCGGACACGATCAGTTAATCTAATTTACTTTTCCTAAAGCGAAACTTATGAATTAATTCTCCCCATTCAATTTGTTACCAGAGATGAAATAAAATACATCATTTGTGTGTCCAAACTGTCATTAAAAACATGTCATTTTTCCCTGTGGCATCAGAAAACACATTTTAAAATCTGATAAGACTCTATACATAGCCTATGCCCATCTTCACCTGAAAAAATAAAAAAAAAAACCTGAATCAAACTCATCTCAGAGACTTTTCCACTTATTTATATGAATCCACACTGCAAGGAATCATTGTAACTCCATCCCAGAACATCTTTCTGAGTGCAAAAGTACTTGAACGTAAAGAACCACAGAACCCTACTCTCACCCATCAATACAGAACCTCCACAGAAGGTTTTAAAACGGAGCATAGAAGCAAATGTCTACGTGAATACTACATTTCAAACTCAAAGAACGTTCCCTTGCAGCTACTTCCCTGAAACTACCTCCAGAAATGGGAGAGCCATGGGATTGTCAAAGCAGCCATGCTCGCACGAACTGAATTTGTGAACTAGCACAAGGTCAGGGTCCTAAGAGGAGGCATCATTCTCTCTGGTTTCCTGAACTCGATGAAATACTGACCAGCTTCCTTGGCAGATACGGCTGAAAGCCTCTGTGGACTGTGGATGATTTACCAGGTTATGGACATTCTCTGGGGACTACAAATGCTGGGCATGTCTATCAAGCACAAAGCAGCCGCCGCAGCAAAACCAGATCCTAAAGCCTGGAAATAGCGTTACAAAGAAATTACAAGCCAAATGGCAGATATAGAAGCAGCGATGGCAAGCTGTGCTTGGAAAAACCACCTAGTGAAATGTGACAGCAGCCAGCCGAGCAAAACTGAAGAACTGAAGCAGAGTGTACACGCATTTTTCCCAGTAACAAGCTTGTATTATGCAAATCAGGGTTTACACATATGACTTTCAAGCACTGTCAAAACAAAGACGTTTCTCAAATGCTTGGGTAATATTAGCTTAAGGTTGCCAGCCAGATCATCATAGGTAACACGCTCTGAATATACTTTACAGACTGAAAATAACAGGCAGGACATAAGATCTGACAGAGGACACGCAAGCATCAGTCACAATAAACCCTCAGGCCTGTTTTAGAACCAATGCAGAAGTCTATATGCATATACAACCTTAAAAATCAGTTTAGGCCAATAAACAGATTTGCTACAAAACTTACGCATATAGAGCTAAATGACCTAAGGAACAGCAAAGATACAGTCTTTGTTCCTTCTTGAACATACAAGCACCAACAAGACGGGCTAAGAAGACTAGGTCCAAGTTTCTTCGAGTCTTTAAGGTGGTGCGTAGCAAGTCCTTGAAAGGAAGCTCCTACTGCCTGGTATTCATAGGAAGCCTCAAAGTTATCTGCTGACACGTCCCTGCAAACTGCCCCCCTCCCAGGAGACAAAAGGGTGGCCTAGAATTTTTTTTTCTTTAAAAACACATGGAACCTTTCTGCTTTTGCCCCTTAAAAGATCTTTTAAAAGACCTAAGATCTAAAGGAATATCTTCACGAGGCCTCAGTATCTTTGGAGAAACTGAAGAAGTGGTGCCAGTACATGCTACCCATAGTTACTGTAGTCATGGCCACACTCCAGCCAACAATGCTGTGCAACCTAAAGACTCATATTGAAATTGAAAGTAGAAAGATGTATTTAGAAGTTGGAGTGAGGAAAAACACTGAAAAAACCCAGGCTGGTTTAAAAAAAAAAATAAAAAGGAAAAAAAAAAAAGCAGCCACCATACTGTGCTGGTACCCTTCGGCAGTTTACCATCCTGCAGAAAGGAGTATGATTTTAAATCATTTTTCAGGAAGTCACCTTCATATGCCAGTAATTATAATTCTTTGGAAAACTCCGGCAAGACTTAAAGATTAAGAGAACTTCAAGTAAGGAGTACTTACTGGCCTAAAAATTGTCCATACCTGGTATTTAAAAACACTGTTAACAATCTGAGCTATTAAGTTAAACCAAAAGAAAAACAAAAAGCAAATGGTGAAGGATAATATACATGCACAAAAACATATTCAAAATTATCATGGAAAATACATAATCATGCTTACCATATAAAGTCCAAACAAAGCTCTCATATTTCTGTTGTTAAGCTTCAGTGCTTGTGAAAAATACTTTCTTGATAGCTCAAGGTTTTCAAGCCCCCCTTGAGTGTATTTAACCTGTAAAAATTATAAGCTCCTGAAACTTGCATGTCATCCATACCTCGGGCATTCACTATTGAAGCAAAGATACTACGAAACTTCACTCCAGGTTTGTTTCACAAGATATTTCAAATAGGGCAAGTCCTACCAAATGCCAAATATTGGCTTGGGAGAAATATGAGCTCAATACACAAATTTTAAAATATTTAACTGTAGGAGAAAAGAGACCAGCATTAATTTAATTAATTTACTGCTACAAGAATAAAAAGTGATTATTTTGCATCTAGACATACTTACAACCTTGGGATAGTCTCTTATGAAAAGTATCACAAACTTTCAATCTAAAGCTAAATTCTGGCGGCTGTAAATCCCCACTAGCTCTATATTCCTTCACCACAGCACTACACCGGTACGCAAACCGACACAATGCCTTTCATTATCTCCTGAACTGCAAAACAGCGCACAAAGTTTAGATGATTACTCCACTGTTTTTCTATTAATTTTTCCTGTTATTAGATCAATAAAAAGAGAGAGAAATACTAGCAGACATGCTTCACAGTCTTTCTACCAGAAAGCTATTTAGACTTTCAATTTGTAACGTTAACCCAATTTTGTCCATACTATCAAAACAAATTAAACCCATTGTAAGCAGCTAACAGTACAATTTGGGAAAAAAAATAATATATGCCTTAAAAAAGAGTGCAAATGGCTAAAAACCTTAAGCTAAAACTTCTAAGGGCCCTCTCTCCCCCCAGTGCTCTTTCAGGCAAAATTGCCTGTGTGGATTGCACGATCTGGTTCCACAATCACAGACAATATATCACAACCTCCTAGGCAGCATTGTTGTGAAAAAGCTTAACTTCTCCTGCACTTCATTTGAAAAGTGCATAAACACTTCAACAAGAATAGTTCATTTAAAATGAATTTTTATCTTCAATAATTCCCGCCCTTACTCTTATATTTAGCTTAGTCACACTGCGTAAGGAAACACAGTTTTCTTAACATGTTAAGTTCTATGAGATGTTAACGTTCCCTGTGTACTCTCTTAAATCTCCTAGGGAAAAAAATTAAAGAAACAATTTTTTCTTCTATTTTCACCACTTCAGTAACACAAAAACAGAATATGTATTCAGATATAATTGATTTTTCTGAAAATACTTACTTCGGCGTATTGCTGACAGTATAAGTGGTTGTGTGGATTAGTCATCATAAGCTCCTCTAAGCAGAAGGCTGCCTTTGCATAGCTGAGGAATACAAAAAACAGTGACAAAATGAAACAGAGAATACAGTTCTTTCCCTCAGTTTCTTTACAGCACAATAAAAGAAGTTGTACTTTTCCCCTGTAACTGCACGTGATTCACAATTAAGAAAAACGTTTTATTTTGAAATGATGTTTGAAAATCAAGTTACTATTTTTATATCATAGATAGTGAAAAATATACAAAATTTAATAGTCTAGGTATATATGGAACAGCTCATGGAAAGCACTTCATATACTCATTTCTTATTAATAAGCGTCATTTCTGATCAACAAGAGTGACAAGTAGAAACAGGATTAGGAAGTATCAGACATTGAACTCCGACTACAAAATAGTTCATTTTTTCTACAAGAAAATTCAGCTACCTGAGGATTCACAAACCAAGCTACAAACCACAGCACTTACAGTGTCAGTTAACTTTACCTGCTTACAGTCAACCACAGAAGTGAGACCGAAAAACCACACTAAGAACAGTTCTAAAAATCAAACAGTCCAACTCCGTATATGAAAAAAGCATTACACCAGTCCAAATGGGCAACAACTTATCATGGCAAAAGAAAAGGCTAGTACGTATTCTTTAAATGAAAGCTTTCAGAAAGAATTAAGAAGGCAAGCTCAAGATGTAGGTTTATTTAATTATAAAAATCTTAGCTTCATAATCTTTCAACTAACAGAGCTTCCTGCAGAATTTGCATCTCCTGCAGGTACGTGGCAGCACTGTTGCACAGAGTTTACATGACAGGACTCCAAAACTCGGAGACACAATGGTTATAATGACAGTGTGGGTAGATATTTAATAACAGAGTAAAAGCAATTTAGCAATTACGAGATAGTATTAAACCATATAATATGTAAAATCTTATTTCTTAAAATGAATATATCGTGGTTTTCTCCTGTGCACATTATGATAGTCATGGAAGTATTTCAAATATTAATTTGGAGATAAAAGGATATCCACCTCATTCTTCAAAAACAGAAGCCACAGTCCTCATAATGGAACACAGAGCAGAACTGAGGACACTGATAAAGCAAATACACTGCTGAATTGTTTCCCTTTTTTAAAATTAACCTTTAGTTCTTTTCAGTCAAGATTCCAATTTTTTCCCCATTTAATCATTAAAATAATAATAATAATAATGATTCCCATAAAAGTACAGTGAGCACAGTCAATTTTTTCAATGAACTGGAGAAATTTCTACATATTATTTTTTATTGGAGTTACAGATGAAGACAAATACAAGCAAAAGCAATTTATTTCTCAGGTTTTATTACACAATTTTACAATAAAAATTATAGCAAAAAAACCCCAAACAGTAACGGAATACGTATGTTTGCACCACTCTATCATTCACTTTCGTACTGACAGATTTGACAAGCTTAAGTATTTTTCTAACCATAAAAGAAAAAAACCAGCTATTTTCTTGGAAAAGCGGCTGGTGAGTTTCCCAAAACTAATGGAAATCTGGCTATCAAAATTCTAGACGATTCCTTAAGTCAGCATTTGAAAGAGTTTAATAATTATCTTTGGGAATGGGGTGGAAAGAGAGGTGACGGGGGAACAAATTTTTCATCATAGTGAGAATGGCTATTTCTTCCTTGAGAATTTGATTTTTTACTGCTCTCTAGAAAGGAAGGAAGGAAGGAAACAATGTGATATAATTCAGGCTGGGCTGAAGAACTATAGAAGGGAGAAAAAAAAGATATGCCTTTGGGTGGAGGTTAGAATTAATGCTGCGATATTAGAAAACTTGCACTAAGGCTTTGAGCTAATCCTCTCGCACTGGGATTTCCTCCTGTCACTACAGCAATATAAAAAGCTAACAAAAACATTAAATATCCAATAAGCAAGCTACTACAACATTCAGCATTCTTGATTGCATTGGGTTTTGCACCCAGGTAACCAGATGCCTCTACTCTGGAATCATGTTTTGGTTTTTGTATTTTTGGTTGTTTTGGTTTTTTTTTTAAAGGTTACTAAAAGTTCTTGCAGAAGTAGGCTAAAAGAAAATCAGAATATCAGTCGTTGTGATCACCTGATTTTAGAAGAATTTAAATCTATAACTAGTAAAAACATCACTTCAATGAAAAACTATGGGAAATGTGCTGTTTCCTGCTACCCTCAAACTACTTCTTTAAAAATAACAGATTTATAAAAAATGACTGAATCATACAAGTAATTAAGTAAACTGTTTCTGTTTTAAAATCAAATGTCTTCTTAAAGCATTGGTAGTCAAATAAGGTTGGTAATTATTTCTTGTTGATGCTTGTTATATTGGAAATGAGGCAGCATGCTTGCTAACATCATTCCTTCAAAAAAAAAAAAATCACTGAGGTCTTTGACTTACACAGAGTAGGTTTCAATTTAACAGTCTTTATGTGGACTTAGCAAACAACTTACTCATGTTCATTGATGTAAAGTTCTGCAAGTTCATGCCAAGCTTCTTGGTCTCCAACAAATCTGTATAGAGAAGACAAGAGAGGAAAAAAGGAAAAAAAAAAAGAATGTGCAAGGGATTCTGTAAATGATCAGCATGGAAGCAAAAGCGTAAATCAAATGCAAATTCCATTTTAATTAAAAAGATTTATCAGAACAGCAAAACACAATCCGTATTCTTGTAAGACACTCACTGTTCCAGATACTCATTCAGCTCTCGGATGGCCTCAAGATTTTTCCCCTGGGCTTTTCGAATGGCAATCTTACGCTTTCTTGCTGCCTATGGGTTGACATTAATAAAGGATTAGGGTCTCATAATTCCCTGGGTTTTTTGTAAAGAAAGCAATTTGACTGTGCAAATTATTATCTCAATACCAGTGGAATTCCACTGCAGCGCAACTGCTAGGTTGAAGTTTATAAATATACCCCATGACACCCCACTGAGAGACTGAAAACCTCTTCTTACAATCACATTACGTATGCTTTTCTTTGAAGGCACAAACTATATGTATTATTTCATTCAAATAAATGACTGTCCAGATTCTGGTAATTACAAAACAGCAGGGGATGCTAATCTTCAGCCACTCCAAAGACCCCCACCTTATCATTCACAAGATCCTTGACTATAGAGATGATGACTAGAGAGATGGTGACTGAGTCTTAGAGAATCCCACAGACGCATCTTGTTTGACACTGTATACATACAGCTTTCAGCCGTTCTTAAAGATTCTTGTTGGAGTGCTGAATGTCATCTCTAATTAATGTTGAATACACACCAATTTCATAAGTTTCTCATCATTCTTGGAGCACAAAGTAGGCTCTTCAACATCAAAGGAATACAAAATAGCCATTTCAGTGGCAAAAGTGAGCAGTACTTCGATATGCAGGTGGAAAATATATATCAGTACAAACAATATAAGAATGACTTGTAAGAATTACAATGTATTTAAATTTTGAACTCCATAAATGTTGTTACACACCACAAGGAGAAAAGATACACAGAATTTTAACAGTTGATTATTCTGTACTTCAATCCAATATTCCAGTTTCTGAAGCATGTTGGTTACAGTTCTCTAAAAGCAGTTTTTAGACCTCTCGGAGTTCTGAATCAAGATACACTGCAGTTGCAATTCAAAACAGAGGACATCTTCCTAGCAGTCCAACAGAGTTTGAAGCAAACAGCACTACACCTCAGCCAGCCTGAAAATCATCAGATCAGGAATCCCAACAGAATGAAAGCAAAACCAAACTCCAGCATAACATGCCTCAAAGAGCAAACGCCACCAGCCTCCTGCCTTGTCTATAGCTACTGATCTCCTGGGTGTTCCCAACTGCTGTAGTCAGACACGAGAAGAAAGATGGTCTGGTGTGTGTGACGTGTCTGTGTGTACACACACACATACACACCATTTTTCCATGAGATAATATCAATAAAAAAAAGCACCCACTTTTCCAGTAATGAAGTCCCATTGCTTATTCCCTTCACAGCTCTGATGCCACTTCACATCTTACAGAGAAGTTATACAGTTGGGTATCATCCTACAGAAGCCTCGACAGCACAGGAATCAAAATCTTCAATTATTTTATAATTTAAGGTAGCTCTGAAATTAGTTGCTGCATGATGTACCTTCCCAAGACCACAGTCATATATAGTCATAGAATCATAGATTGGTTTGGGTTGGAAGCGACCTTAAGGACCACCTAGTTCCAACCCCCCTGCCACCGGCAGAGACACCTTCCACCAGACCAGTTCCTCAGAGCCCCATCCAACCTGGCCTTGAACATCTGCAGGCAGGGGGCATCCACAAGTTCTCTGGGCAATATACTCTGAAGGAGTTGTATTTTTACAGTATTTTAAACATAACTATGCTCTTAAATAATTTCTTATCCTTTGATCATCATTTGAACAAATTTATTGCTTTCAGAAGAAGAGGAGAGTATTCAAGTGAACTAGTTCAAACTACCAAAACAGCATAGCTAGAAAGGCTTTTAACACTAACTGTAGGTTTATTCTTTGAGTTCATCCCCTTCACTTCCCACACAAACATATTATCAATGAAAATTCAGTGAAAATGACTCAAGTGAGGAAAAAAATATTTCACTCGTCTGCTTAAACGCAAGGCACAGGCAGAGAGAAAAATCATCAGAATGATCACGAGACAAATTAGGACGCAAGCAGCATGGTGGGTTTACCCACAGTCATTTTGTTGTCCGTCCACCACTGCTTTGCCAAACTGCAACCTGTGAAGTTACATTCGTCATTCTGCTTTTACTGGGAGACATTTGTCTAAAAGCCATAACTGACACTGGAAATTTTAACGCTGACCACATTTATCACTATAACAATAATACACACTGCTTATTTGAGTTTTTAAAACTAAGATAACAGCATAATTAAACTTATTTTTAAAAAATATAAAAAGAATAATCCCATACGCTTATCATACTGCTACTATCACTAACTAAAAAAAACCCCCAAACCCACACAAACAACGCCATTGCTCTCTATCACATTTTATGAAGAGGTCTCAAAGCATTTCATAAAGCAAGTCAGCATCCTTGCTATGGTGGGAACACCAGAGCTGTGCTCAACTCACTACCCAGGGCTGACATTATACACAGCCCAGTGACCTGCTCACTGAGCCTGAAAACTGAAAGCAGGGACAGTGGGGATAACAGCGTGCACAGCCAAAGAAGCGTGCCTTGCAAGTACCACTGATGAAAATAGCAGGTTTTCTGCAGGTGACAGACTATCTACTTTAAAAAGTAGGTTTTGGATTAAAAATTCAGTTATTTTCAAAATATAAATAAAAAAAACAATCAAGGGACTGAACTGATCAAAACTAAATTGCTTGAGAACTGCAATCATCTGTTTAATATAGAACATCAATCATTGCCTTTGACAACTTAATTTGTGATGGCAAACAGGAGCCACCCTCCATTTTCGTTTCTAATGTAACTCCTTCAGTCGCATGCAAGTCTGTCCTCCAAAAGAGTCTGGAAACAGATTTTCTCCACGGTTGCTTTATTTCTTAACCACAGCACTCCCAAATTACGTAAATCACTGTAACATCAAGACACGAATTTATGAAAAGCTACAACTATTTCTAGTCACAAACATAAACTGATGTTTACCTATAACAAGCCCATCATCTAATGCAATCAAATAATGAGAATAAAAGAATCAGACATAATTAACATGTTCTGATGGTAGCACTTACGAGTAAAATGAATTACATGCACATTTGAAAAGGCTTACTTACTTCTAAACTGCACCAAATCCCACAATATTTCTTCAAAATTATATTTTTTGTTTCTCATTTGAGAAAAGTAGAATTTAAATCTTCCTTTTTTTTATCCACCTTCCTTATCACAAAAAAAAAGCAGCATCTGGGCTTGAAATCTGCATTCTCTTCATCCTCAAATAAACCTTCAAAAATGCCAGGATAAATCAGTTTATTTACCGAGAACTCTTAGTTTACAAAAACGAGGCTCACACACTCGAAACGGTGCTGACATTTAAAGGATGACCAAAATGTTGTATAGTAGCACAGAGTTCTTGAAAGTCTCTTTAAAACTGCTGGGAAGAAGTCAAGGAGGGTGTAGGAGTTTTTTAAGAAATTACTAACATTCTTCAATCACATAAATAAAATTGTAACGCAAATATTCTGAATGCACTGCCAAGACACATACACATAGGTGTTCAGAAGACCTGAAGTATTCAGATCTGTGATTCCTAGGAGCGGTAAGAAAGACTGAAATACAAAGAAATTAAAACAAACCACTACTGCTTTTATCTGTATTCACAGACTACCCTCCCACCTGACTTTACAGCTTTCTTTGAATCATGAAGACTATCAGTTAGGGGTTTTTTTGAAACAAAAACTGAAATTCAGTATGACTCCACTAGACATTGCTTTAAGAAAAACATATACGACACGGCCTGCACTAAAACCAGGACACGGGCCACTCTGTGTGCTGTAAACTTCTAATTATTATTCTGATTTATATAGTCCTTGAGCCCCTATCGAGCTCCCTTTGCGTATCAGCTTCCTCCTCAGTGAGCTGGGGCTCACACTCAGAATGCTTACTGAGCATCCGGAGGAAAGCAGCATAACTAACAACAATTTGCACACATTGCATCAATTTTTCCTTATTTCCACCAAATTAAACAAAGTGTTTTACTGCACAGAACCACTGCCAACACTAACAACCACTTTACCAGACAAAACCTAGTTATTTTTCAAGGAAAGGCACTCCCACCGATTCTACAGAAGCTTTGCCTAATATTTATTTCATACATCCGATTTATTACCTCTCTTAGTATCAGCTGATACAAAAAAAAGAGGCCACTTCATATGTTTTATTACGTTTCAGGGCTCTATTTTTAGTAAAAATCTCACATTTCAAAATATAATGTGATTTTTAAGAGACTTATTGCAAGATACTAAAAAATATGCAGAGTACAGAGTACAAATCTGTTCAGTCATTAATTTCAAGTCCACTAAGAATAGCCATAAGAAACCTAATTTTAACTACAAGATTTGAGATTATTTTGAAATCTATGAAGCATACTAAAGTAGTTGGAATAATTCTATTAACAAAGATAGAAAAGTAACATTCACGAGTGACATTTCAGCTCTTTGCATCACACCAGCAAGATTTTTAAGAACAAGCCTGCAAAAGTGAACTCAATCTCCTTTCTCCTTCCACCTTAAATCAAAAGGAAAAGACAGAAATTTCAGTGCTGCAACAGGATCTGCAGTGTTTGACCATGCAGAACGTATGACACGGAATTCCCCCTATCAATTTTCCAGAGTTCAAAACAAAATGCTGGAATGGTTATTGGCAGATTCTGTAAATCCAGCATTCTTAATGGAAAGATATATGCCATCGTAGAGAAACACTTCTACTGTAATCAGTATCATATGGACTAAGGCACTTCAGTATGTCACATATTTATTAAACAGCGAACCTTTCCAAGCTATTTCTTTCAAAGGCTAATAATCCCCAATCTGGCAGAAGAACTAATCATCCATTTGTCATGATTCCTTTTAATTAGCATTAAGCAGACTCAAAGTGAGGATTTGAACATTTATCAACTTCTGCATTTGATTACTAAAACGTACCGAGAGAGTCTAAGATTGTTCTAAATTTCATGGTTGCAAAGAAATTATTAGTAGGAGAATTTTCAGAGACTGACACTTCTAAGAAAAAAACGATGTCCTATCTGTTTAATTGCTGCAGCATTAAACAAATTATATGTTGCATCTCAAAATT